CCGGGCCGCGGGGGCGTTGACCCCCGGAACTCTCTCCAGGTAAACTCCAGGTACCACACAAGAGATTAGTGCAAAAACTGGAGGACCAAGCAGGGATAACAGGGAAGGCACTACAATGGATCAGGGAATACATGTATTTGTCAGGAAGACAGCAGTGAGTAATGGTACGTGGCAAGGTGTCAGAGTGGGCACCTGTGACCAGCGGGGTCCCACAGGGGTCAGTCCTAGGACCAGTGCTGTTTCTGGTATTTGTGAATGACATGACAGAAGGAATAAACTCTGAGGTGTCACTGTTTGCAGATGACGTGAAGTTGATGAGAAGAATTCATTCGATCGAAGACCAGGCAGAACTACAAAGGGATCTGGACAGGCTGCAGACCTGGTCCAGCAATTGGCTCTTGGAGTTCAATCCCACCAAGTGCAAAGTCATGAAGATTGGGGAAGGGCAAAGAAGACCGCAGACAAAGTACAGTCTAGGGGGCCAGAGACTGCAAACCTCACTCAAGGAAAAAGATCTTGGGGTGAGTATAACATCAGGCACATCTCCTGAAGCGCACATCAACCAAATAACTGCTGCAGCATATAGGCGCCTGGCAAACCTCAGAACAGCATTCCGACATCTTAATAAGGAGTCGTTCAGGACCCTGCACACCGTGTACATTAGGCCCATATTGAAGTATGCGGAACCAGTTTGGAACCCACACCTAGCCAAGCATGTAAAGAAACTAGAGAAAGTGCAAAGGTTTGCCACAAGACTAGTCCCAGAGCTAAGAGGTATGTCCTACGAGGAGAGGTCAAGGGAAATCAACCTGACGACACTGGAGGACAGGAGAGATAGGGGGGACATGATAACGACTTACAAAATACTGAGAGGAATTGACAAGGTGGACAAAGACAGGATGTTCCAGAGACTGGACACAGCAACAAGGGGACACAGTTGGAAGCTGAAGACACAGATGAATCACAGGGATGTTAGGAAGTATTTCTTCAGCCACAGAGTAGTCAGGAAGTGGAATAGTTTAGGAAGAGATGTAGTGGAGGCAGGATCCATACATAGCTTTAAGCAGAGGTACGATAAAGCTCATGGTTCAGGGAGAGTGACCTAGTGGCGACCAGTGAAGAGGCGAGGCCAGGAGCTTCGACTCGACCCCTGCAACCTCAACTAGGTGAGTACACACACACACACACACCATATCTGGCTTTTCTTCTGTTTTCTTATTAGTTCTTCTTTATTTCCTCTTATCTCCATGGGGAAGTGGAAAAGAATTCTTCATCCGTAAGCTGTGTGTGTCATAAAAGGCGACTAAAATGCCGGGAGCAAGGGACTATTAACCCCCTCTATATAAATTACTAAATTTAAAAAAAAAAGACTCGTTTTTCTTTTTAGGTTACCTTACCTTGGTGGGATATGACTGGTGTGCTAAAAAAAATATCTAATGGTAATTACATGTTCAACTGGTCAGACCACTACTCGTTCATAAATGTGCTGACATAATTTATACAATTATTACAATAATGCAGTAGTCTGCATAACAGTAAATCTCCTATTATTTTTTTTTTTTTTTTTTTTTTTTGTGAATAAAAACTCAAAATAGAAAGCAAGTGTAATATAGGAGAGGCCTGGGGACATAAATAATGATCAGAGGAAATGATTGTGCCAGGAATATCTACATTGTTTATTCTGTTCCCTATTTTTAACCCTGTCCAAATGTAGATCTACATTTTTTTCATTCAACATTTGAAATTATGTAAAAAAAAGTAGATCTTTTTTTTTTTTTTACATTTGAAAACGTGTAAAAAACTTTGATCTACATTTTTTCTTGTTATATTTGAAAATATGTAAAAAAACAAAGATCTACTTTTGGAGCACTACACATGTGAACGTAGATCTGTTTGGACAGTTTAAGGGTTAAATTGGCAATTTTTTAATTTTGTGTGAAATTGGCCAAATTACCAATTTCTGATCACTTTATTGTGCAGGTGAAATAATTAAATTGGTGGTTTCTTGTACTCAGCCGATAGAATGGAAGGCATACTAGTGAAATAGCTAAGAGTTTGGTTGACTGGAACAGTGAAATTGGCCTAAAATAGGACTTGTGGGAGAAATTGTCAGTATATAAATATCGCTGAGATGGCTTAGCGAGAGCTTAATTTTGTAAGTTTTCCATCAAATTTTATACTTTGGGTTTCATTACCTTCAGAAAATATTCTCTATCATTTCATAAGAAAAAAATAATTTTGTTTTTTTTTAATTTTTGAACCCTAAAAGCAATTTTCAGGTCTTTTAACCCCTTTCAGGTCTGGACCCTGAAAGGGGTTAAAACCCTTCACCACTGAAAGGTTTAATATGGAGTCTCTTAAGAGACATCAATGTTGGTGCCCCGTGGGGCCTGGTGGCAAATGCTCTTGCTTCACACAGTGGGGGTCCGGGTCTGATTTCCGGCGAAGGGGTGGAAACATCAAACGTGTTTCCTTACACCGGTTGTCTATGTTCACCCATCAGTAAAATGGGTACCTGTGTGTTAGTCGACTGGTGTGAGTTGCATCCTGGGACAAAACTGACTTAATTTGCCCGAAATGCTCTGCATAACAAGGGGCTTTCTACTATATGGTAGTATGTTAGCTGGGCCTGTGTACTTTGTACATGTACTTTTTTTTTTTTTTTTTTTTTTTTTTTTTTTTTTTTTTTTTTTTTTTTTCAACAAGTCGGCCGTCTCCCACCGAGGCAGGGTGACCCAAAAAAAAAAAGAAAGAAAATCCCCAAAAAGAAAATACTTTCATCATCATTCAACACTTTCACCACACTCACACATTATCACTGCTTTTGCAGAGGTGCTCAGAATACAACAGTTTAGAAGCATATACGTATAGAGATACACAACATATCCCTCCAAACTGCCAATATCCCAAACCCCTCCTTTAAAGTGCAGGCATTGTACTTCCCATTTCCAGGACTCAAGTCCGGCTATATGAAAATAACCGGTTTCCCTGAATCCCTTCACTAAATATTACCCTGCTCACACTCCAACAGATCGTCAGGTCCCAAGTATCATTCGTCTCCATTCACTCCTATCTAACACGCTCATGCATGCTTGCTGGAAGTCCAAGCCCCTAACCCACAAAACCTCCTTTACCCCCTCTTTCCAACCCTTTCGAGGACGACCCCTACCCCTCTTTCCTTCCCCTATAGATTTATATGCTTTCCATGTCATTCTACTTTGATCCATTCTCTCTAAATGACCAAACCACCTCAACAACCCCTCTTCTGCCCTCTGACTAATGCTTTTATTAACTCCACACCTTCTCCTAATTTCCACACTCCGAATTTTCTGCATAATATTTACACCACACATTGCCCTTAGACAGGACATCTCCACTGCCTCCAACCGTCTCCTCGCTGCTGCATTTACCACCCAAGCTTCACATCCATATAAGAGTGTTGGTACTACTATACTTTCATACATTCCCTTCTTTGCCTCCATAGATAACGTTTTTTGACTCCACATATACCTCAACGCACCACTCACCTTTTTTCCCTCATCAATTCTATGATTAACCTCATCCTTCATAAATCCATCCGCCGACACGTCAACTCCCAAGTATCTGAAAACATTCACTTCTTCCATACTCCTCCTCCCCAATTTGATATCCAATTTTTCTTTATCTAAATCATTTGATACCCTCATCACCTTACTCTTTTCTATGTTGACTTTCAACTTTCTACCTTTACACACATTCTCAAACTCATCCACTAACCTTTGTAATTTTTCTTTAGAATCTCCCATAAGCACAGTATCATCAGCAAAAAGTAACTGTGTCAATTCCCATTTTGAATTTAATTCCCCATAATTTAATCCCACCCCTCTCCCGAACACCCTAGCATTTACTTCTTTTACAACCCCATCTATAAATATATTAAACAACCTGGTGACATTACACATCCCTGTCTAAGACCTACTTTTACCGGGAAGTATTCTCCCTCTCTTCTACACACCCTAACCTGAGCCTCACTATCCTATAAAAGCTCTTTACAGCATTTAGTAACTTACCACCTATTCCATATACTTGCAACATCTGCCCCCATTGCTCCTCTATCCACTCTATCATATGCCTTTTCTAAATCCATAAATGCAATAAAAACTTCCCTACCTTTATCTAAATACTGTTCACATATGTGTTTCAATGTAAACACTTGATCTACACATCCCTACCACTCTGAAGCCTCCTTGCTCGTCCGCAATTCTACATTCTGTCTTACCTCTAATTCTTTCAATTATAACCCTACCGTATACTTTTCCTGGTATACTCAGTAAACTTATTCCTCTATAATTTTTACAATCTCTTTTGTCCCCTTTCCCTTTATATAAAGGGACTATACATGCTCTCCGCCAATCCCTAGGTACCTTCCCCTCTTTCATACATTTATTAAACAAAAGTACCAACCACTCCAACACTATATCCCCCCTGCTTTTAACATTTCTGTCATGATCCATCAGTTCCAGCTGCTTTACCCCCTTTCATTCTACGTAATGCCTCACGTACCTCCACCACACTTACATTCTGCTCTTCTTCACTCCTAAAAGATGGTATACCTCCCTGGCCAGTGCATGAAATTACTGCCTCCCTTTCTTCCTTAACATTTAAAAGTTCCTCAAAATATTCTCGCCATCTACCTAATACCTCCCTCTCCCCATCTACTAACTCCCCTACTCTGTTTTTAACTAACAAATCCATACTTTCCCTAGGCTTTCTTAACTTGTTTAACTCACTCCAAAATTTTTTCTTATTTTCATTAAAATTTCTTGACAGTGCCTCTCCCACTCTTTCATCTGCACTCCTTTTGTACATGTACTTGTAGTAAATAAAGATATTATTATTATTATTATTATTATTATTATTATTATTATTATTATTATTATTATTATTATTATTACTATTATTACTTGTGGGCACATAATCATTAATTTGTGGCTGTATTCTAATTTATTTATATATTTTAGCACAATCCAAGGCTTGGACAAAGGTCGTCGCATCAATCAGACACTTGCTACCACTGGCACAGCGGTTGTGAAGACCAAAGAAGCTGTTGGTAAGTCTCTTTCTAATGCCCACTTGTGATAATTCAAGTAAATTTCTTTACTCCAGACCATTTTCGTCTTTTCACTACTGCAGAGTCTGACACAAAAGTAGCTTGGTAGAGAGCAACCATCCAGAGGGCACAGTACATACGGTAAACCTTCTAATTAATGGATTAATAAGGGGGAGAGGGTGTATGTTTTGTGTATGTATACTATATCAGCAGATGGGTCTATGAAAGATGAGGTGAATCATAGAATTGATGAGGGGGAAAAAGGTGATTGGTGCACTGAGGAGTATGTGGAGACTAAGATCTTTATTCATGAAAGCAAAGAGGGGAATGTATGAGAGTATAGTTATACCAACGCTCTTGTATGGGTGTGAGGCATGGGTGGTGAATGTTGCAACAAGGAGAAGGCTGGAGGCAGTGGAGATGTCATGTTTGAGGGCAGTGTGTGGTGTGAAATAATGTAGAGAATCCATAGTTTTGGGATTAGGAGGAGGTGCAGGATTACCAAAACTATTATCCAGAGGGCTGAGGAATGGTTATTGAGATGGTTTGGACATGTAGAGAGGGTGGAAAGAAATAGAATGACTTCGAGAGTGTATAAATCTGTAGTGGAGGGAAGGCAGGGTAGGGGTCAGCCTATGAAAGGTTTGAGGGAGGGGGTGGAGGAGGTTTTGTGTGCAAGAGGCTTGGACTTCCAGCAAGCGTGCATGTGTTAGAAGCAAATGGAGACAAGTTTTTTTTTAGGACTTGACGTTCTGTTGGAGTGTAAGCAAAGTAAAATTTATGAAGGGATTCAGAGAAACTGGCAGGCCGGACTTGATTCCCAGAGATGGGAAGTACAGTGCCGACACTCTGAAGGAGGGATGTTAATGTTGCAGTTTTATAACTGTAGTGTAGGCATGCCTCTGGCAAGACAGTCATAGGGTGAATGATGAAAGTTTTTTTTCTTTTTCGGACCACCCTGCCTTGGTTGAAAATGGCCGATGTGTTAATAAATAAAAATAAATACATGTATATCTCCATAGGCAAATGGAGAAGAATCCTTCCTCCGTAAGCCATGCATGTCATAAGAGGTGACTAAAATGCCGGGCACAAGGGGCTAGTAACCCCTTCTCCTGTATACATTACTTAAGTTATGAAGAGAAACTTTTGTTTTTCTATTTGGGTCACCCTGCCTTTGTGGGATATGGCTGGTTTGTTGAAAAAATTGTACAGTTGGACCCCCATATCCGCGGGGATATTGAAACCATGGATAAAAGATCCTAGGTAGTAGGTTGGTGGACAGCAACCGCCCAGGGAGGTACTACCGTCCTGCCAAGTGAGTGTAAAACGAAAGCCTGTAATTGTTTTACATGATAGTAGGATTGCTGGTGTCTTTTTTTCTGTCTCATAAACATGCAAGATTTCAGGTACGTCTTGCTACTTCTACTTACACTTAGGTCACACTACACATACATGTACAAGCATATATACACACACACCCCTCTGGATTTTCTGCAATTTTCTTTCTAGTTCTTGTTCCTGTTTATTTCCTCTCATCTCCATGGGGAAGTGGAACAGAATTCTTCCTCCATAAGCCATGCATGTTGTAAGAGTCTACTAAAATGCCGGGAGCAAGGGGCTAGTAACCCCTTCTCCTGTATAAATTACTAAATTTAAAAAAAGAAACTTTTGTTTTTCTTTTTGGGCCACCCCGCCTCGGTGGGATACGGCCAGTTTTTGAAAGAAGAAGGATAAAAGATAAAGATAGACTTTATTGCTTTGCAAAAGTTACAATGTGTCATTTCTATTTTGATTTTCTAAGTATGTACAAAGAAAGCCACTATCGTTCCAGGGCATTTCAGGCAGACTAGTCCTAATACTTAAAATCTATTTAAATCTAGACAAGATAAGAGTGTATGTCTTCTTAATAGTAGTAAACCCCATATATATAGGTCCTATACATCCCTGTTATAAAGTTTAATTGATAAATTATGCACAATAAGTGGAGAATTATCACTTTTTCACTGATGGGAAGCACTTCATGGCTTCTCTTAGGCTTTGAAGAATTACCAACTTCTCTGTTTTTGCACTTTGGGGCCATTATTATGCAAAATTAAGAGGTATTTCTGGGCCACAGTAAACAGTGGATAACTGAAGCTGCGGATACCAAATCAGTGGATATGGGGGTTCTATTGTACGTGTACTTGTATAGTATCCTGAGGCAAATAATTTTGAAAGTTTTAAGGATATTCTTTTGAAAGTAAATTGAGTGAATACAAGAACTGTCTGTTTTGGCCAATAGGTATGCTACAGTGTTATTTTCTTACTACTTTACCAGACAAGCAGCTTGTCTGTGTAGCTTACTGACAGGGGATCAAGCATCAGGGACTCTCTGTAATGAATGAACCACTCAGGTTTAGAACTTAACATGGGCAGAATTTTCATTGGAAAAATATTCCATTATGTTAATGACATTTCCATTGTTTTCCATCAGGAGGAGCTCTGACATCAGCTCGTGGGGCAATAACCAACTTGTGGTCTTCCTTCACCACCAGTAGTAACAACGCACTCACAGATCCAGCCATGGAAGCCACAGAAACACTGCATAGTGCTAGGCTTGAAGACCATCAGGATGAAAAGACAGTTTCTGGTACAGTACTTTTAGTTTATTTCTTCAATGCACACACATTATTCCAGGGCACAATGACAGAAATATCTAGGACTAAAATATCAATATTGTTAATTAAATTGGTGGATTAGTTTGTGGAGTGTGCTGAAGCAAAATGTTGTTCATTACTTTTTTTTTTTTTTTTCAACATGTTGGCCGTCTTCCATCGAGGCAGGGTGACCTGAAAATAAAGGAACCCTTTCACCATCATTCTCACTGTCACTATCTTGCATTACTTTTCAGAAACAAATACAGCCTCTCTTCAATTCACGACAGGGTTCAGTTCCTAAGAGTAGGTCGGTAAGCGAATTGGTCATTAAGTGAGGAGCATACTACAGTGGACCCCCGCATACCGTTGGCATCACATAACGTTAAATCCGCATACCGCTACATTTTATCGCCAAGATTTTGCCTCGCATACCGCTAAAAAACCCGCTCAACGCTGTTCGTCCGAGACGCGTCTAATGTGCGCCCATACAATAAGTGTCAGGGGCCCGAGACTGTTCAACTGCCTCCCAGCACACATAAGGGGGATTACCAACAGACCCCTGGCAGTCTTCAAGCTGGCACTGGACAAGCACCTAAAGTCAGTTCCTGATCAGCCGGGCTGTGGCTCGTACGTTGGTTTGCGTGCAGCCAGCAGCAACAGCCTGGTTGATCAGGCTCTGATCCACCAGGAGGCCTGGTCACAGACCGGGCCGCGGGGGCATTGACCCCCAGAACTCTCTCCAGGTTAGCCAGCCTCACATGTTCCGCTGGTGGCATTGTTTACCAGCCAGCCTCCGCGGTAACATCCAAGCATACAATCGGAACATTTCGTATTATTACAGTGTTTCTGGGGGTTTTTTATCTGCAAAATAAGTGACCATGGGCCCCAAGAAAGCTTCTAGTGCCAACCCTACAGGAATAAGGGTGAGAATTACTATAGAGATGAAGAAAGAGATCATTGATAAGTATGAAAGTGGAGTGCGTGTCTCCGAGCTGGCCAGGTTGTGTAGTAAACCCCAATCAACCATCGCCACTATTGTGGGCAACAAAAAGGCAATCAAGGAACCTGTTCTTGCCAAAGGTTTAACTGTGTTTTCGAAAAAAGAGATCGCAAGTGATGGAAGATGTTGAGAGACTGTTATTGGTGTGGATAAATGAGAAACAGATAGCAGGAGATAGCATCTCTCAAGTGATCATAAGTGAAAAGGCTAGGAATTTTGCATCAGGATTTAATTAAAAAAATGCCTGCAACAGTGATGATGTGAGTGAATTTAAGGCCAGCAAAGGTTGGTTTGAGAGATTTAAGAGGCGTAGTGGCATACATAGTGTGATAAGGCATGGTGAGGCTGCCAGTTCGGCCCACAAAACAGCTGAAAAATATGTGCAGGAATTCAAGGAGTACATAGAAACTGAAGGACTGAAACCTGAACAAGTGTTTAATTGTGATGAAACAGGCCTGTTTTGGAAGAAAATGCAAGCAGGACCTACATTACTCAGGAGGAAAAGGCACTCAGGACATAAGCCTATGAAAGACAGGCTTACTCTGTTGATGTGTTCCAATGCTACTGGTGATTGGGCAAAGTGAAGCCTTTATTAGTGTATCACTCTGAAACTCCCAGACCGTTCAGGCAAAAGAATGTCCCCAAGGAAAATTTGTGTGTGCTGTGGAGGGCAAACAGTAAGGCATGGGGCACTAGGGACTTTTTCTATGACTGGTTACACCATGCATTTGCCCCCAATGTGAAAGATTACCTAACTGAAAAGAAATTAGAACTTAAGTGCCTCCTGGTGTTAGACAATGCCCCTGGTCATCCTACAGACGTGGCAGAGCGACTTTATGGGGACATGAAATTCATTAAGGTGAAGTTTTTTTCCTCCTAATACCACTCCTCTCCTGCAGCCCATGGACCAGCAGGTTATTGCAAACTTCAAAAAACTGTACACAAAAGCTCTGTTTGAAAGGTGCTTTGTAGTGACCTCAGAAACTCAACTGACTCTAAGAGACTTTTGGAGAGAATCACTTTAATATCCTCAATTGTGTAAACCTTATAGGTAAGGCTTTGGGGGGAGTGACTAAAGAGGGCCTTGAACTCTGCTTGGAAGAAACTGTGGGCCCGAATGTGTAGACCAAAGGGATTTTTTAAGGGTTTTTTAGGCTAACCCTGAGAAAACCTATGCCAGTTGAGGAATCCTTTTTCTCATTGGGAAAGTCCTTGGGGTTGGAGGTTAGTGGGGATGATGTGGAAGAGTTGGTGGAGGAGGACAATGAAGAACTAACCACTGATGAGCTGATTTGATCAACTTCAACAGCAAGAGGCCCGACCTGAGGAAACTGGTTCGAAGGAGGGGGAGAGAAATTGAAGAAATTGCCTACTACATAGATTAAGGAAATCTGTGCAAAGTGGCTTTAAGTGCAAACCTTCTTGGATAAAAATCACCCTCACACAGCTATTGCAAGCCGTTTCTGGTGACTATTAACTGACAAAGTTTTTTGAAACACTTTAGGGAAGTCATAAAGGAAACGAGAGGTACAGGCCACTATGGACAGATATGTTGTGCGACAGAAATCCAGTGACTCTGAAGCTGGTCCTAGTGGCATTTAAAAGAAGAAGGGAAGTAACCCCAGAAAAGGACTTGACACCCCAGTCTTAATTGGAAGGGGATTCCCCTTCTAAACACTAACAATCTCCTCCTCCTCCCATCCCATCAATCATCACCAGATCTTCAATAAAAGTAAGTGTCATGTAATTGTGCATGCCTTTTTCAGTTTGTGTGTATTAAAATTAATATTTCATGTGGTAAAATTTTTTGTTTTTCATACTTTGGGGTGTCTTGCACGGATTAATTTGATTTCCATTATTTCTTATGGGGAAAATTCATTCGCATAACGATAATTTCGCATAACAATGAGCTCTCTTGCACGGATTAATATCGCTATGCGGGGGTCCACTGTATATGGTAGTGGATTTGTCAGCCATCTTTAGATATTTTTTTAATGTCACCTTTGCACCATTTATAACATTTTTTAGTATATTTTTAAATGTCTATACAGTAGTGTACTGTATACTGTAATAAACAGAATAGAGGAAATCGGCTTTAATATACAGTAGGGCCCCACTTTTTGGCGTTCCACTAATACGGCGCACTCAAATTATGACCAAAACTTTGTATACGGCAAGCGATCTTTCAAATACGGTGTGTGCCACCCGGTTTGTTTGCATTCTCCATGAGCACATCTCTATTATATAATAATCACTCTTGGGCACATTAAATGTTTAATTTTACGTCAATGTAGACATTTTCATTAATTCATCTATGATATTTTCTTCAAAATTATATAAGAAACACCTTACATAGCATATAAACATGCTGTTTATATGCTATGGAGGTGTGGTTGCCAGGTGGAGGGAAAACATTACATAATACTAATAATAATCACCCTTGGGCACACTAAATGTCTTATGTCAGTATAGACATTTTTATTAATCCATCTATGGAAGGAAAAACATTACGTAATACTAATAATAATCACTCTTGGGCACATTAAATGTCTTTATTTTTTTATTAGCACACTGGCTGATTCCCACCAAGGCAGGGTGGCCCGAAAAAGAAAAACTTTCACCATCATTCACTCCATCACTGTCTTGCCAGAAGGGTGCTTTACACCACAGTTTTTAAACTGCAACATTAACACCCCTCCTTCAGAGTGCAGGCACTGTACTTCCCATCTCCAGGACTCAAGTCCGGCCTGCCAGTTTCCCTGAATCCCTTCATAAATGTTACTTTGCTCACACTCCAACAGCACGTCAAGTATTAAAAACCAGTTGTCTCCATTCACTGCTATCAAACACGTTCACGCGTGCCCGCTGGAAGTCCAAGCCCCTCGCACACAAAACCTCCTTTACCCCCTCCCTCCAACCTTTCCTAGGCCGACCCCTACCCCGCCTTCCTTCCACTACAGACTGATACACTCTTGAAGTCATTCTGTTTTGCTCCATTCTCTCTACATGTTCGAACCACCTCAACAACCCTTCCTCAGCCCTCTGGACAACAGTTTGGCAATCCTGCACCTCCTCCTAACTTCCAAACTACGAATTTTCTGCATTGTATTCACACCACACATTGCCCTCAGACATGACATCTCCACTGCCTCCAGCCTTCTCCTCGCTGCAACATTCATCACCCATGCTTTACACCCATATAAGAGCATTGGTAAAACTATACTCTCATACATTCCCCTCTTTGCCTCCAAGGACAAAGTTCTTTGTCTCCACAGACTCCTAAGTGCACCGCTCACCCTTTTCCCCTCATCATTTCTATGATTCACCTCATCTTCCATAGACCCATCCACTCCCAAATATCTGAATACATTCACCTCCTCCATACTCTCTCCCTCCAATCTGATATCCAATCTTTCATCACCTAATCTTTTTGTTATCCTCATAACCTTACTCTTTCCTGTATTCACTTTTAATTTTCTTCTTTTACGTACCCTACCAAATTCATCCACCAACCTCTGCAACTTCTCTTCAGAATCTCCCAAGAGCACAGTGTCATCAGCAAAGAGCAACTGTGACAACTCCCACTTTGTGTGATTCTTTATCTTTAACTCCACGCCTCTTGCCAAGACCCTCGCATTTACGTCTCTTACAACCCCATCTATAAATATATTAAACAACCACGGTAACATTAATGTAGATTTTTTTTTTTTTTTTTTTTTTTTTTTTTAACAAGTCGGCCGTCTCCCACCGAGGCAGATTTTTTCATTAATTTATGATATTTTCTTCAAAATTATATAAGAAACACATTACATAGCATATAAACATTTTATGTTTATATACTATGGAGGTGTAATAGGCCGGGCGGAGGGAAAACATTACATAACACTTTTGTTTACAATTCTTGGCTTGAATTATTCATTACTTCTCCCTTTGTTTATGATGGCATCTAAAGGTAGTTGTTAGAAATGATTAAACTCAGTGAACATGGTATAT